TCTCTCTCTCTCTCACACACACACTCACACACACACATGATGCGCAAAACTCCGCATTTGAACTGTCAATAGCAAATACTTAAACTAATTACAAAACAGTAGCTGATTCCGCATTACCTCCTCTCCTAGGTTCACGAAACGGTCGTCCATAAAATGCATTGCTGTTCTGTTGTAAGTGATCCAAATAAAGTGCTTTTGCTTTCGCACTGAAACACACAGCGTCTCCCTGACATGCTGCTTCAACACTAACTGCGGTTACTGACACCATGCCTTCTTTCTTTGCGTGCACATTTGCGGCGGGATTATGCAAATATTTCCACATAGTGGGGTAGATATGTGGGGGCGTGTTAGAATGAGCCGTTTTAGGGGGGCGTGGCAGAGTCTTAACTTTGATAAAGAATATCTCTTTGGTTTTGAGACTTTAGTCTTTGCAACTTCAGGGATCTTATCTATGCACAATCAGCTTGTAACACTCCAAAGAGAAAGGAAAACTTGAAATCGCATCATATGACCCCTTTAACCTGTTTTCTAAACACTCCTCCAGATTTTAGGAGAAAATATCTTAACATTTCACAAGTTACATCGCCTTTAATGACTCTTAACAGATCTTTTAAAGAAGCTAATAAAATTGGACATAATAATTGGTGTTTTCTATATACTATACAAACAATAATGTATTTGGTAACACGTTTATATATATTTTAAGAGCTACTTAAAGACTGAGTGAGTCGTTCAGGAGTCTTGAGTCGTTTTTTTTTAAATTCATTATAAAGAACCACTCTATAAGGTTCTTTTTAAGTTTTTCTGGACACTCCGTCTGCCTCTAGATTTTAGGAGAAACTATATTAACATTACACGAGTTGCATCACCATGTAATGATTCCTTGAACAGTTATTTTATTCATTAAGGAAGCTGATAAAAATTGGCCATAATAATTGGTGTTAAATATATACTAAACTAACAATAATGTATTTGGTAACACATTTTTATTCAGTTACTTAATGATTGAGTGAGTCTCTTTTTTATGGATTCATTAGTAAAAACCAGTTCATAAGAGTCATTTTTAACAGAAGCAGACCATTTGTTTGTGAATCACTATATTGATTGTGTTGTATGTTTGTTGTTGTGTGCAAACATTGATATAGTGTCTATTTAGCATGCAGTTTTTTTTCTCTCTTCAAACTCGCAAGTTGGGTAAAATGAAAGATTATTTTGCCTGTCTGCAGTCATCTATTTTAGTATGACATTCTGCCCACATTAGCACAAGAATACTCATGTTCAAGAATCATTAATGGATCTGAAGATCATTAAAATCCTTCAGTTCCAGTGCTTAGTTTTTTTTCTAAACGCCTGCTTTGTTCAGACCACATTGTGGCAGCTCAGTGTTTTTTTCCTCTTTGCATGTGATGGGAAATTAAATACATAAAGTTAATAAAGTGAAATGAGAGGTGGAGAGATTGGTGTTATGTTAGCGGGAATGAAAGCGATGCCGGATGAAATCACAGCGCCGTCGGCATCTGTGCTGGGAATTCAGTGCGCTAATCGACCAATTAGAGCTTTCGGATTCGGCGGAGAGACGTAACACAAAGCCCGGCCTGTCATTTAATCAACTTCATTCTAATTTAAAACCGGCGGAGTGCAAGCACGCTGTTTGCTTACGTTGAATAATCACGTATTTGTTTCGCTTTCACTAAAAGAAAAACACATTTGCTTTAAAATTGCATTACAGAAACAGGATTGAATCCCAGCCGTCTGAAACAACCCCCCGAATCCATTTGCCTTCAGGCAGATATTGATGTCGAAACCTAAAAGCGCTCAACGTGCATGTGTACGCACGGTGGCCGAGCGCGTCCAATCGCAGCGCAGTGGGTCGTATACAAAGAGGCAATTAATATCGAACCGAGCACGGTGGCCTGCAACGTCCTATAATAACATGGTTAGACCAAAGGTTAATGTGTTGAATTCGATATGCATCCCCATTCGTTTCAATGAAGCTGTCCGAAAAAAAGAGAGGTAGTCTGTAATCAAAGGGCTCGCCGTGCAAAGTGAAATTAATTATAGGGGCCTTCATAAATTCAATGTCATGTCTTAATCTTCCGCTGGTCCCCTCCCAGCCGTTATCAGCTCGGCTGGAAGTGGGCCGCACGCTCGGGCCGATCTAATAAATGGCTGTGTGAGATGATAATCGTGAATGAGCTTTATGTCGGTGGAGATGTGAGTCCGCTCGGACCGGAGAACCCTTTAGTCAAACACCAGTAAAAATGATGGTGTTTATCAGCCCATCCCCCTCACGGTGAATATAGAGAGTACATTATGTGTTCTGGAAGTGAACTGCTGTGATATTTAATACAGTTGAGCGGTCTGGTGTGCATCGCGCGATCAAAATAACAGCAGCCTTTTTGAAAACATGAATGCATGCATGTCTGAGATATACGACGACCTACATGACAGACAAGATTTAAAGGAATAGTTCAGCCAAAAATGAACATTTGCTGAAGATGTACTCACCCTCAGACCATCCAAGATGTAGTTTGTTTGTTCTTCAAGATTTGGAGAAATTTAGCATCGCATCACTTGCTCACCAATGGATGCTCTGCAGTGAATGGGTGCCGTCAGAATGAGAGTCCAAACAGCTGATAAAAACATCACAATAATCCACAAGTAACCCACACCACTCCAGTCCATCAGTTAACATCTTATGAAGCGAAAGCTGCGTGTTTGTAAGAAACAAATCCACCATTAAGACGCTTGGAACGTCAAACCATTGCTTCCAGCTGATCTTGTATCTATAAAGCTTCCTCTAGTGAAAAAGTCTGAATCAGGAGAGAAATCTGCACAGATAATGCACCATTTACAAGCGAGTCAAAAACAGCTCTAAACAAGTAGGAGATTACTTTTTCACTGGAGGAAGTGTTATCGTGGATTATGGACACGTATTTTAGCTTGGAAATGACGGTTTAAAGTGAAAACATCTTAATGTTAAGAGTATTTGTTTCTTGCCGCTTTTCACTCACAAGATGATGTGGTCACAAGAGTGGTGTGGATTAATGTGATGTTTTATCAGCTGTTTGGACTCTCATTCTGACGGCACCCATTCACTGCAGAGCATCCATTGGTG